TTGAAGACCCCTGCCCTATACCATTGCAGACAAATGGCTGTCCAGTCTCTTCTTAAAAACCTCCAGCGATGGAGCATTCACAACTTCTGGAGGCAGGTAGTTCCACGGGTTAATTGTCCTCACTGTCAGGACATTTCTCCTTAGTTCCAGGTTGCTTCTCTCCATGATTAGTTACCATCTATTACTTCTTGTCCTGCCTCCAGGTGCTTTGGAGAATAGTGTGACCCCCCTCTTCTTTGTGACAGCCCCTCAAAGATTGGAAGACTGCTATTATGTCACTCCCACTAGTCCTTCTTTCCATTAAACTAGACATGCCCAATATTTGCAATCATTTTTTCATATGTTTTAGCCTCCAGTCCCCTGATCATCTTTGTTGCTCTTCTCTGCACTCTTTGTAGAGTCTCAACATCTTTTTTACATCGTGGTGACCAAAACTGGATGCAGGATTCCAAGGGTGGCCTTACCAAGGCCTTGTAAAGTGGTATTAACACTTCACTTGATCTTGATTCTGTCCCTCTGTCATATCACATAATAGGCATCTCATACTAGCTGAGATGGACTCCAGAATGGACTCCAGAAGATGGTAGAGGACAGGAAGGCCTGGAGGAACGTTGTCCATGGGGTCGCGATGGGTCGGACACGACTTCGCAACTAGCAACAACAACTAGCTGAGAATAAAATTTACAGTTGATCTAAGACCTGGAAGTTGACTTACTTTCCAGGGGGTCGTCAATTTCTTCCTCAATCTGCTTAAGAGTGCCGTCTTTCGTCAGTTTTTCGGTAAAAACTCTGGATGGAACCAGCTCCCTCATAATTTCACCATCCTCCTCAGATTTTGCCAGCCATTTTTCACAGGGAAATGTGGTTTTCTCAGAGCCCTGAAATCACAATTGTTTTTGTGTGTGTGTTTTTTTTTTTTAAAAAAAGACAGCTATCTTTCATAGTGAAATATTTGCAATCTTTAGGTTTTCTTCGTTCCCAAGTGGAAAGAAAATACAACAGACAGAACGGCATGAATAAATTCTATTTCTTTATAAAATGTGTGAGGCCTTTTTTTGTGTGGTGACCCTCAGGTGGGCTAGCAACTTGTCCTGAGGGAAAGAACTGGCTAACTTTAGATGTTGTCTTCAGTTGTATTGCCCTTTTTTGGGGGGGGATTTTAGAAGAGCATGTGTAAAAGGCCCACTGTAGTTTGTAAAACATTGTTGCTTAGTATGATACGCAAACAAAATCCATAGTGGCTTATTCGGTAAACCATGATAAAGCAATAATTTCCTTCAGAAACAGTTTCCCATTCCCATCTGAAGGTAATATACAGGACGTATTCGACTTTGTTTGTTTAGTGACCGTTCAGAATTACAAGGGCACTGAAAAAAGTGACTTATGACCATTTTTCACAGTTATGACTGTTGCACCAGGGTCACGCAATCAAAATTCAGATGTTTGGCAACTGGTTCATATTTATAAATATAATAATCATAAAGAAGTTGGAAGGGACCTTGAAGGTCATCTAGTCCAACCCCCTGCTCAGGAAGGAAACCCTATACATTCCAGACAAATGGCTGTCCAGTCTCTTAAAAACTTCCAGTGTTGGAGCATTCACAGCTTTTGGAGGCAGGTTGTTCCACTGGTTAATTAGAATAGAAAATATGGAATAGAGTAGAGTACAGTACAGTAGAGTAGAACAGAACAGAACAGAACAGAACAGAACAGAACAGAACAGAATAGAATAGAATAGAATAGATAGAATAGAATAGAGCTGGAAGGGACTTTGGAGGTCATCTAATCCAACCCCCTGCTCAGGCAGGAAACCCTATACCATTTCGGATAAATGGCTGTCCAGTCTCTTCTTAAAAACTTCCAGTGTTGGAGCATTCACCGCTTCTGGAGGCAGGTTGTTCCACTGGTTAATTAGAACAGAACAGAACAGAACAGAAGAGAGCTAGAAGGGACTTTGGAGGTCATCTAGTCCAACCCCCTGCTCAGGCAGGAAACCCTCTACCATTTCGGACAAATGGCTGTCCAGTCTCTTCTTAAAAACCTCCAGTGTTGGAGCATTCACCGCTTCTGGAGGCAAGGAGTTCCACTGGTTAATTGTTCTAACTGCCAGGAAGTTTCTCCTTAGTTCTAAGTTGCTTCTCTCCTTGATGAGTTTCCATCCGTTGCTGCTTCTCCTGCCTTCTGGTGCTTTGGAGAAGAGCTTGACTCCCTCTTCTTTGGGGCAGCCAAAGAGACTGGACAGCCATTTATCTGAAATGGTATAGGGTTTCCTGCCTGAGCAGGGGTTGGACTAGAAGACCTCCAAGGTCCCTTCCAACTCTGTTATTCTGTTACCATCTCCAGGACTGTGGAGTGCATGATATTACTGTACAGCACATCCTTTCTCAGAGGAGACCTTGTTCTTCTCTAGGAAATATTGGTGAGTATCTCAGTCAGAATCACCGCGTTCCTGCTCCAGGTTTCCCCCCGCCTCTGTGCTTGATCTGAATAAACCAGGATCTGCTCAATTGCCCCAATATGCTTCTCTCTGCAGCCATGTCCATTCCGACAGATGCAATGTTAATAATAATAATAATAATAATAATAATAATAATAATAATAATAATAATAATAATAATAATAATAATAATAATAATAATAATAGTAAAGTTGGAAGGGACCTTGAAGGTCATTTAGTCCAGTGGTTCTTAACCTTTCTGAATGAATCGCCCCCTTGAGCCAATGAGGAAGTTGTCATCGCCCCCCCCTCCCCCAACATAACCTCTCAATCACAACATAGGAAATAAGTCTTCAATTTATTCTTTAAAATTGTCATCAGGGCATATCGATGCAAATAATTTATTTCCAGTCTTTTTCCCATATCTCCCATATTCTGGCCAATGGCGCGCCACTATATGGGTAGAGGCTGCTGCGCAACGCGCATGAAGATAAGCGATGCGTATTCACATATGTACGGCATTCTGTACTGAAGCTAGCTGGAGGAACATTTGAAAACACAATTCAAGCCACTAATAGCGAGCGATCTGATGTTTTTGCACGACAGATATACAGCACAGCGATTCACTGTACAAAAAAAGTCTCAAAAGTATCCCCCAAACTTCTCGCTCCATCGTCCCCGTATCGCCCCCTTTTCGTTCCTTTGCCCCTGCGTCGCCCCTTTTCCTTCCATCGCCCCCCTGAAAAATGAAATTGCCCCCAAAGGGGCGATAGCGCACAGGTTAAGAACCACTGATCTAAGACCATTTGTCGGCCGTGACCAGGGGGGCGTTTTATCAGGTCCGCCTGATTCACCAGTTGCGACCTTTTCTGGACCGGGACGCCTTGCGCACAGTCACTCATGCTCTCGTCACCTCTCGCCTGGACTACTGTAATGCTCTCTACATGGGGCTCCCTCTGAGGAGCACCCGGAGACTCCAACTGGTCCAGAATGCGNTTTTAATTGGAAACACAGCTTGTAATATTTGGTTTTAATTCGGCTTTTATCGGGGTTTATTTTCTGTATTTTTGTATTTTGTAATTTTTTGTATTTTGTGTTTATTATTTGTTTTTAATATGCTGTGAACCGCCCTGAGTCCTATGGGAGAAGGGCGGTATACAAATTAAAATAATAAATAAATAAATAAATAAATAGTCCAACCCCCTGCTCAGGCAGGAATTAGGAGACCTAAGTGGCACGGGGAAGTGGGGCTTCAGCCCTCCCTGGTGAGTGCGGGTTTCTGCTGCCAGATGCTTTCAATTTAATCTGACCTCCTCTTTCCCCCACACACAGACACGTTGACATGCCTGTTCGCCATCTAATGAGGCAGCCCAATTTTTAGAGGCCTTGGCAGCCAAACGCTAGATCACGACCGGCTGTAATATCCTGTGGTGTGATTGTGACACCACTCTGCAGCATTGGGCGTGCTTCTCTCTTCCCCTTTTATCGCGTGCTTAAATCAGCAAGTTCAGACAGATTAGGAGTAGCTAATACCTACTCCTACTACTCAGTGAAAGAGTCCCGCAGGAGGGGCGCAGAGGAAACGCCGGGTCGTCTAGTGGCCGTGAGAAACTGTCCAGGGTCCTGAAATTAATCTGTCCACCTGGGAAGACATCAGCGGTTTCCAGATACAGGACTCTTATTACTTCTAATCGCGGGAGAGCAGAATAAAAGAGTGGGGAGGGACCTTGGAGGTCTTCTAGTCCAACCCCCTGCTCAAGCAGGAGACCCTATATGATTTCAAGACAAGTGATTGTCCAATCTCTTCTAATAAAACCTCCAGTGTTGGAGCACCCACAACTTCTGGAGGCAGGCTGTTCCACTGACTAATTGTTCTCACTGTTGGTAAATTTCTCCTTAGTTCTAGGTTGCTTTTCTCCTTGATTAGTTTCCCTCCGTTGTTTCCTGTCCTGCCTTCAGGCACTTTGGAAATTAGGTTGACCTGCTCTTCCTGGCTCAATAGTAGTAACTATGAGAGGGATCCTGGAGTCCTAGTGGACAATCCCTTAAATATGAGCCAGCCGTGTGCTGCAGCTGCCAAAAAAGCCAACACAGTGCTGGGCTGCATTAACAGAGGGATAGAATCAATTTTGGCTATAATATAGAATTAGAAAAATGGCAAATGTCATGGGAGAGAAACTACAAATTAACAATGTCAACCTCATACAAAGAAAATCTGTACAAAATGTTTTATAGATGGCACCTGCCACCAGCAAGATTAGCAAAAATGTTTTAAAATATGTCAGATAGATGTTGGAAATGTAAACATAACGTAGGCACGTATTATCACATTTGGTGGACATGTGGTAAGGCAAAGGCCTATTGGAAAAAGATACATATGTGGTTAGAAAAGATATTGGGTGAACAAGTGGACTTTAAACCTGAACTTTTTTTACTAAGTATTATGCCTGAAAAGACTAATAAGCAGAAATTATATTTAATCTTAGACATTACTACACCAGCGAGAATAATTTTTGCACAATACTGGAAGAAGGAAGGACTGCCATCAGAAGAAGAAATAATCAAGAAAATATTGGAATGTGCAGAGATGGACAGATTAACTATGAGGTTGAAAGATAAAGAAGATACAGACTACTATCAAATTTGGAACCTATTTTATTCTTGGCTAGAAGAAAGAATGAAGGATTAGGAATTGAACATGTACTAGCATAGCAAACTCCAGACAACTTGTTGATTGGAAAAATTAACATATGTTGATGAAAAAAAAACCCAATAAAATCTTTACAAAAAAAAATAGAATCAAGATCATGTGAAGTATTAATACCACTTTACAAGGCCTTGGTAAGACCACACTTGGAATACTGCATGCAGTTTGGTCACCACGATGTAAAAAAGATGTTGAGACTCTAGAAAGAGTGCAGAGAAGAGCAACGAAGATGATCAGGGGACTGGAGGCTAAAACATACAAAGAACAGTTGCAGGAATTGGGTGTGTCTAGTTTAATGAAGAGAAGGACGAGGAGGGACAGGATAGCAGTCTTCCAATATCTCAGGGGCTGCCCCAAAGAAGAGGGAGTCAAGCTATTCTCCAAAGCACCTGAAGACAGGACAAGAAGCAACGGATGGAAACTAATCAAAGAGAGAAGCAACCTGGAACTAAGGAGAAACTTCTTGACAGTGAGAACAATTAACCAGTGGAACGACCTGCCTCCAGAAGTTGTGGGTACTCCATCACTGAAGGTTTTCAAGAAGACATTGCATAGTCATTTGTCTGAAATGGCATAGGCTTTCCTGCTTGAGCAGTGGGTTGGACTAGAATACCTTCAAGGTCCCTTCCAACTCTGTTATTCTTTGTGGCAACCCCTCAAATATTGGAAGACTGCTACCATGTTACACCTCGTCCTTGTTTTCATTAAACTAGAGATAGCTGGACTCCCTCTTC